GCCATAAATTACAATATCAGATTTTTTACATATTTGCGATGTATATACTGTAAACTCCACAAGCACGTGATCATTTTCGACGGGTCCTAAACAGCTTGCGGTCATCTACATAAATTAACCTCGTGGTCAACTGTGCTGTATCTGACAATCATTTATCAACTCTGTCGACAGTCGAGTGTTACACCTCGTGCTCGCTCATATAGAAGCTTCGGCGAAAAGTCTACGGGCTTTTATCTCTCACTTTTGCGCAACACTAAAGGTGTGTTTACCTTGCCACGTGTAATCTCCGCTCGGGTCAGCGCGCCATTCTAGGCCCTTGTTTTTTTTGTTTTTGTTTTTCCCTAAGAGAGTCAGCGAATGAGACAGTTCACTTGGCGGTTGTGAAAAACGATCTTCTCTGTAAGTCCGGTACCCCCAGGGCTTCTCACACACGGAGGGCCATAGCTAAGGAGAGCGGAGAAAAATGACCGCCGAGAGACCGAAAAGTACGCATTCTTACCCACGCATCCGCGGCTCCACCTGAGGTGTGTACAAGGCTAATGTTGAAATACACAGGGTCAGTCGCATTCAGTCGCATACCTCGTTTCGGAAAAAAAAGAAAGAAAAAAAAGTTAAGAAAGTGAAACAACCAAGGGACAGAAAATCAAGACTGTATAACCCTGCGGGGGTCTTCCTAATAAAATAAAATGATTGATTGATTGATTTGTGGGGTTTAACGTCCCAAAACCACCATATGATTATGAGAGACGCCGTAGTGGAGGGCTCCGGAAATTTAGACCACCTGGGGTTCTTTAACGTGCACCGAAATCTGAGCACACGGGCCTAGGACATTTCCGCCTCCATCGGAAATGCAGCCGCCGCAGCCAGGATTCGAACCCGCGACCTGCGGGTCAGCAGCCGAGTACCTTAGCCACTAGACCACCACGGCGGGGCTCCTAATAAAATAAAATGATCGTTGGGAAAAGTAGGCGGCTCGCTTTACGGTTGCAAATACGTGTGCACGGTTCATGCACATTGACCCAGCGACTCGAACATTCCTCTGTTGGTGAAGCTCCAAGAGGAGTCGTGCGCGCGAGCGAGCAATGCTTTAATATAGTAGCTGACCACTTAATTCTGCAGGCAATATCGCGCGTCAATATTAAAACGTCGTATGTAAATGTCTTTTAAGTAAAGCAAGCGCATGAAAGAGCCACTGCGCAAAGGATTGGAATGCAATTAATTGAGATATATATGTGTAGCTGGCCCCCTGAAGAGGTAGCAGAGATGAGGCAATCGGTATCGACGTTCGCTTCCAGGAAGAATTTACATTTAGGTGGCGCACTCTTAAATGAAATCACACTAAAACAATTGAAGTCACCTAACGAGCAATATCAGCTAAGCAATGTCGGCGACATTCCTTCGATAGAGTACGAGCAAGCATACCGGGTCACACGTGAGGGCACGCACGCACGCACGCACGCACGCACGCACGCACACACACACACACACACACACACACACACACTCTCTCTCTCTCTCTCTCTTTCTCTCTCTCTTTCTCTCTATCTTTCTCTCTCTTTTCCTAATCCAAGCAAGCTGTTCTTTTCTTTTTCTTTTTTCCATGCTTACTGAACTACTGTAGGTACCCTTTAAGTGCACCACGACTTGGACAAAACAGGTAGGGTATAAACACAACCGGCACACCATGTATGTATATAGTGAGGCCTGCCTCCCGCACTGAACGTTTCTACAGAGCATTTTATTTTCTTTTTACTCGCAATTATTTCGTTCCTAAACGAGCCGGTGCACCGCAAGGTCGGCATCCGACCCATAACAACCGCTACGGCGCTCTCTCCTCTGCCTCTCCGATCCTTCTACCTTCATCTTCCTTTCTGTCGTTCACCTCCTATTCTGTAACGTCGATCGAAAAGGGGTTCAGGGGCCACGGCGTGTGATAAATGAAGCGACGAACGTGTGCGGCTCTGGCCTGGCGACCATAAATCGCGCGCACCATGCCCCCTGGGCTCGTGTATCCTTCTTCCGCGAATCGCCGCGCGGCCGGCGCACTGCTTTGTTATGGACGACGGTTGCTCGTGTATGAAGATGGACGAACTATTTGCTCTACGCCCCGCCGAGTTCGCTCGGAGATCGATATCGCGCGGTCCCCGCCACGACGAACATGATATCATCGGTGACCACTCCCTCTCCCTTGCTCCGCCCTTGTCTGCAGGTTCCTATAATAGAGCATCGAGGGTGTCCTGGCGAATCCGAATCACAGCTTCTCGGTATAAAGACGCCATTCCTTGGAAAAGCGCCTATCGGAAGAAAAAGATGAGCCGGAGGAGGAGCAAGCCGATCCGCCAGCCTGAGTGTAAGACATACACAAAACCTATCATCGTTATCATTATCATCGTCCTCATCATCTGTGAGTGACGTACTAACGCGCTTAGCAGGAACCAGCAAAGCAGTCGGCCACAGTGTGTGTCCGTTTCCGTGGTTCGTCACTGCGTCGCACTGCCAGGGCAACCGAATCGGCCAGTCGAGTCAAGGACGTTGACACGTCAAAACGTTGCCTTACCATGTGTGTAGACTAACAGAGCCTCATTAAACAGTTTATTAACACGCTACGAGTCTTCAAGTGTCCTGCCCCAGCCTCACAACATCATCATCATCAATATAAGAAGAAAAAGAAGAAGTCGCAATAGCCGTCGCGTCATCAAGAGGGATTGCGTCACGTGACTACAAACAAAGAAACGTAATCATGGTGCTAATAATCGCCGAACATCTGGCGGGGGAGGTAGCAGGACCACAGATGACCGTAGAGTTTCTCACAAAAAGTGGTGAAGAAGTCTACGGCGCAGAGATCGTACAGTTCTAGCATGGCAACGATGTTGGGAACTATGTGTGTAGTGCGTGGATTTGTTTAATCTTCATGCTTGCAATTTCAGACGTCCTCGCGTTCGCTTTTATTACGCTTTTTGTACTTCTATGTGATGTTCTAGGAGTGCAAGAGCCTTTTAAGCTCGTTTTATAAGCAGGCGTTTCATACGAAGCGGTACAAATCTTAGCGGTATTCCGGAGACTGTAGGCTCGCTGGTGGCTTCTATTTCTACTCCAGGTGTGTGTAATCATTGCGAGTTAATGCACTTGTAACGCAATGCCTGATTTCGTTGAAAATTATCGATTCGGAAAGTATCGAAGATAACCGAGACTTGCTGCACCTACTACCCATCTCTTGATCGTTAGCTGAGCTTTCATCCACGCAGTTTCCGAAGTCATTAGCCGGCTAAGGCTAGATGACATTGAGGCTTGATCACGTGACGCCTCACCAAATGACCAAACATGGCGGCGCTAATAAAAATGCGGTTAAATGTATTCATACAGAGCTAGAAGATAGCATTCTTGGCAATAAGTACGAAATGAAAGCCTGCATTAGAAACTCCACACCTGATAAGATGCCGGTGACTGACACAGTATACATACACAATCAATGCCGGATAATGTGGTGTGTGTGCGCTACAACGATAATTCAAGCAACGCCGTTCGTTTATCCGTCATTATTTTTAGGTGCAATCGGGCATTTCGGATTGTTTACTCTGCAGTACACCACGGAGTGAAGGCAGAGGCAACCAGAGTCTGCAGGAGACAATCTTTACTTTTCCTTCTTCCCATAAAACGAAGTACTTCCATCTCCTGCCCACGAACTTAATATTGAAAGAGAGCGTGATAAGGACGTTACCAAAACGAGTTAGTTTCAGGTCGTAAAGCCAGCTGGCAGTGGCCGTTTATTGCTTTGTTGGCGCGAGCCATAAATAAAGGATACGGAGACGACGAGACGAACGTTAAACTCGGGGTTGAGCGTTGACTCTTCAAAGTAGTCGCGTGCCAACTGATTTAGAGAGCGCAAGATAGCTGCTTGACGCTCGAGAACGATCTTGCCCGCAAGTTATACGCGCTATCCGTACGGAAACAGGTAATACTGCTGTATGCTTCGAGTGTGACACTCTTACGGAAACGACGAGACGAAGCATTTTCCCGATACGTCGATCGGCGAACTGCTCTCACAGCAACACGGCGTTTGCTGCATCAATGTTGCGTGCATAGGGCAGTCCGAACTATATGCCGGAACATTGACTGACAGCACACTGACTCTGACCAACTCACGAGTTTGAGTCTTCGTGAGCCAGGCTGAGTAAAGTCCTGGTGAGTCTGTCTAAGTGAGCTTGCCATGTGTAGAAAGCTTGCGCCTGTCTGCAGCTCTCATATGTTTGCTGAATGGTTTGCTAAACACGGCTGCTACGATCACGTGTTCCACATTCGAAGAATGACTGTGCCGTGATCACACCGAAATTATTTCTTTAATTACAAACGACTCGAACTGTTTTCACCCTTTTGTGGTTCTCGTGTACTCAGTGTGCATGCTGTCTGTCTGGCGTATATTCCCCCTTTCTGTGGCTTCAACTGACGTCACTGAAACCGACACGTTGGTGCCCCACGTGACACAGGACACGAGGTTTATAACGTTACATTAATGGTATCATTACGTCACTTTATGATTCCTTTGTTATCGACGGACAAAGGCTGATAACGTTGTGGCCGCATCGTTATTGTATTCGAGGAAGCTAACCACTATGTGATTATGCTGCTTTTACGTCATCAAAGCCACCATGTTGAGTAACTAGTACCTACGTTATGGAGCTGCATCCATGACGTCACATGCATGCTGTCTATAGACTAATTGAAGCGAATACTCCACCTTTGTTCTATTATAGCCTTTGTACGAGTCTTTCAAAGCAGTCATAGGCTGCGACCGAGCAAAATGGCGGCGTCGTTCACAATTGATACGGTTGGGAACGATGGGCTGTCCTGTCCAATCGTATTCCTTCTCTGTGTTCTGTTACTGCGCGCTGGCTCACGCGTTAAGTCGCCCTTCGGAAGCACGGCAGGGCGTTTCGTGGCCCTGTGCGTTCAAAAATGCGCGCGCAGACCCAGTTTCCGTTCTGTATACACGTGACACATACTCTTGTCTGTGCACTTGAGGTCCCTGGCCAGTTCGTCCGATCCTTGGAAACACTGGGGCACGCCATCGCATAGCTGCGACAGCTCGAATAACTGTAGCACTTCCGTGGACTCGTTCACTTGGCATCCGAAGAAGCCGTCCTCCAGATTCAGCACAAATATCTCCTTCTGCAGGTACGGGCTCGGGAACTTGGGCCGGTACTGGCCACTCGCCTAGAAGAAAAAGGGAGAGATGTGACGTTAGAATAATGTACTCTTATAGTTCAAAAGGAACGGGTGCTTACAATAACGTATCTTCCTATTTTTACGGTAATTGCGCACGTGCTCTCAATTCAGAGTTCAAACGAAGTTTAGAACTTGTATATAAAGCCATTAAAAAGCGTAAAAGAAGTGTTTCGTATAATGTTGACATTACTTTCAGAATATCGTAAGGAAGACACAGACATACATCGCCTACGACTCGGAACTGCTCACACAAAGCACTTCCCGCCGCGGTTGTCTATAGTGGGTATACGGTATACCCGGCTGCTGACCCGCAGGTCGCGGGATCGAATTTTGGCTGTGGCGGCTACATTTTCGATGGAGGCGAAAATGCTATAGGCCCGTGTGCTCAGATTTGGATGCACGTAGAAGAACCCCAGATGGTTGGGACGTCTGGAGCCCTCCACTACGGCGTCTCTTATACTCATGTGGTGGTATCGAGATGTTATACTCCACATATCAATCAATCCACCATCATCAATCCTGTTCCGAATTGAGCGTGCGCCACCATGCGGCCACAACGACGAGGATGCATAACATCTGTTCCTAGATTGTCCCAAGGACAAGACACATGGACAGCGACTCGAGAAGGAACTTCACTCGCTGAACGCAGAGCCAACGTTCTCGTTGGCAAAAATATTTGACCAATGGTCACCGCGGATAAATCACAATGCAGTAAAAGTGCTTCAAGTGTTTTTTTTTTTGTTTGAAGACACCAGTATTTATGATAAGTATTGAGCAAATGAGACTGAAAGTGCTCACTGTGATTGTATGTGTGCTCTGTCAAAACGAAAACCTTTGAACTTAGCAAATGCAGGACGGTGTATAGTTTGTGTATATCTGACTTTTCCTTTCTCAAGTTTTATTTTTATCCTAAGAACCAAGAGGAAAACGTCCAAGATACGACATCGTGAAGAAATGTTGACACCAACTCCTTCATTTGTTTGATATTTAAATATTAAAAAACACAGCATATTCACGATGTGAATGATGACGAATGCGTGAAGCTCCGGGGGATCATTAACCTCCGCACATTGCCCACTCGATCATGCAAAGACGTGACAACACGTGTGCGCAGTATATACAAAGTTGTTCATCAATCACAATGCGCATATGGCATCGATATGTCCATATAGATATTCATATGGATATCCATAGCGTGTCACGCCAACGGATAGGGAACATGGCTCGACCCTGAGAAGCTTCGTGCCTAAAAAAAAGAAGCGACGATATCTCATCGCGAATGTAGAACGAGTCACAAGGACCATAGACGAATATGGTCAACAACAACGCTTGATTTCTTTTCGCTCGTTCGGCCACGTAGGTTCTGCTTTTGTGAACACACAAAATTTCGTTTCAGCTCGGCTGTATGTCGGCGGCGATCGGCGTTGAAATACGGAGGAGGACCTTTGACATGTCACTGTAGGTCCTGACGACAGAAGTATCCGGAAGAAAGAACCACGTATACATGCAATTACCTCCTGTAGCAATGAAATAAATAAATATAAAAACTGGGCTCGGAATCGAAAATAACGATGTAGGAAGCGAAACACCTTCTGTTCCTCTCGCTGTTATCTCAAAAATGACGTCGGAAGGAGTATCACTTAACGAAAAGATCCAGCCAAGGGGTGTTCATGTCTTCCAGTAGCACACAGACATGCAGGGACAGCAGGAGCACGAGCCTTTTCGATATGCTCCGGTATGTCTTACACGCCCGAATAACAATGATAATCACACGCCGGAGACAGGAAATAATGAAAGCCGTCGCAGCAACGTTCGAGAGGAGTGGATATCGGGGCGGGATTAGCTTCAATCAGATGTGCTCGTCACGACGAAAAAAAAGGTCTTCGGTGGTCCCGTCAGGGGCACCGCCTTGTAATCTCTGGTCGGCGGCCGCAGCGCGGCGTCATACATCAGGCGTGCCACGAGTGGTGCCACCTACCGGAAAGGCACTGACCCCGCACGCTATATAACAGAATGCGGGTGCCGCAGAAGATGGAGACGACGTACGGCGACGTCGTGACGCGAACGCCGACAACCGATCCCTTGCTCCGTTTCTCGTGGATTCCGACGGGGTCCACCCATATATACGGGATGCCCACGTCGTCACAGTACAAGACTCATGCGTACTTCGTATGTATCTCGAATCGTGACCACCGTCGACATGAAGAGAGTTCCGTGGATTGTAACAAAAGGGATCCACAGGCCACGCGTACACTCGCACGACTTGTCAGATTTGGTAGTTCACGCGATTCGATTATCTTCGAAGAGAATCAGTTTGTTGAAGACATTATGATGATGACTTTTCTCGACGCCCCTCTAACGGGGCTATAACCAGCAGCCACCTATAGCCAGTTTCACTTAACCATATACATTGCCACATTCAACCTGCAGAGAAGAGCTCGAGCAGCAAGAAAGGAAGACGAAGTTCTTGCCCGGTCCTCTTTACGAGCGCCTTGCATGTAACTAAAGTGAGCTCTCCTATATCCGACTTCTGCTGTGTCTGCGTCATGACAATATGTACTGTCGTCTAAGTTAGCCTATACTTGTAACTTGCCTAATCTTACGGAAAGACATACTGAAAGTGCTGCGCACGCCTCCTTTCGAATGTCGACACCATTCTAACAATACTATTCGGGAATAACAGCTTCTTTGCTGGCATAGGAAATCATTCGTACACGATGATATGTGTATATACATGCAAATAGGCTAGTTCATTCTATAGCAAGGTTCCTCTTGACAGTATATGCCGCGCGTTTGCAATAAATGAATTCAGCCAGGGATGCATATACAAGGTCGGGCGTACAAATGCACCCACCCCTCTGGCAACGCGTTCCATTTCATACTATAAGCCAGCGCCACCGAATACGAATGGAGTACAGACATTGACCGCGCTTATCATAACACCATGCGTTATCATAACGACCCCGATAGTATCAGAAGACACGCCTATACACAGGCGCCGCGTTAAAAATTCCGAAGTTCGCCCTTTAATCCTGCTAACCCAGTACTATTGGTAAATAGAAAAAGCCCGGCCGATGAAAAAGTCTGCTCTAATACCGATCTTAGTGAGCGCGGTTTCATGCCCAAAAGAGGACCTATCTCTCTTCTTTTCCAAGGTGTAAGTTCACCACACTTTTCGCAACAGCGCACGCGAACATTGAACGAATACAAGGAGAGACCAAGATGTGAGGAGGTGGCGCCGAGGCGAGCTTTCTGACACCGGATGTTTTTGTTATCTCCCGTGAAAGCCTCCACTGAAATGAAAAACGGATACGATTATTCGTTCTTTTTTTCCCTTTTGTTAATCGCAGTGACGGCACGCGTGTTTCGTGACGATGTATGACCGCGGGCCGTAATAGCCCGGCGTGCCGCGGTCACACCGGAGGGATTACATCCATTACCGTGACATAAAAGGCGATGCTTTCCCTTATCGACTTGTGGGCCTGACATGCATACTATATGGTTATATATAGGTAGAGAAGCGGCACGGTTAAAAGTGATAGAGGCTTGGATAAAAAACGCCGAACCACGTTTCGCCTTGCAATACATCGCACTCGTGTTGTATTGATGGCGCCGTTCATCAACGCACGTAAATCGCCCACATATTCGCACTCTCTATAGATTCTTGACCGCACGGTTGTACGCAACTAGGACTAACCCCCGCACCGGGGGGTTTCTTTCGAAAACTCGGATGTCAATAGCACTCTCTTTCTCTCCCTTTCTCTCCTCCGTCCAACTGCCTTTAATTTATGCCCTCTGGGGCTCACGTTGTCTGAAGGAGGCTGACGCTGCGTACGGCGAAAGAACCCTTACTGTCTCCTTAGAAGGATAAATCTGTTGGTCTCTACAAACCGTGAACCGTGAAGATGGGCGAATGATTTCGCGCGCTTTTGTTAGCGAGACGGTTTGGTTTAGAACGTGTGCAACCATCCTTTCGTGCATAAATATCCTTTCTAGGCAAGCGAAAAGCGAACAGGCTGATGCTGAGTGAATCCAATTTTTCTATTTTACGCATACGAAGCGTACCCATGGCGTGCGTGCTGCACGTCTGGCAGGGATGTTCTGTAGACGTCGTGCAGACGTTCACGACGAGAGATGCTTGCACGAAGATGTATGAAGATCACCGTGATGAAGATGGTACGAATTCTCGCGGTCGAAGCAGCTAAAGAGAACGTACTTATAGGTCAGTCCACGTAGTAAACAAGAAGTCTGGGTCCTGTCAAAACAAAGATATATGGACCATATATTCCTTGTGGACGTATACTGTAGACCATTCTGCCTTTTCTCGTGTCTCTCCTTTGGCTGTATCACGTCTGCAAACTGTCTAGTAAAAAAAGGGCGTTCGCGAGTCTATAAATTCTCGTCTATTACAGTTCACAGACATCCAAATGCAGATGGGTTTACGGAAATGTTCAAGGATGTTTGTCGAATAAAAGAAGACGTAAAGAGTGTGCGTAGTGGGAGGAGTGCGCTGAGGGAAGGCGAGCTACTCGGTATCGTTATGGAGACTGGATGATCGGCCTTTGTCGGAACAAAGGATTCTGGGTCATTGGCCGAGCCCATCTTCAGCACAGAAGGCTTTGAAAGCCTTGCTGCGCTTTTTGCGGACAAATGGCCTCAGAGACAGACTTTAGTGTCTTATACTCTTTGATATTGCCTTTCCTCTGTCGCTATTTTTTTGTAATTTCTCTCTCTCTCTCTCTTTTCGCAACATTTCTTTCTATCATCTTTTATTACCCTAACCCCTTTCCCCAGCACAGTGTAACCGGCTAGTCTAAGAATTGGCTATCCTCCCTGTCCTTCCGCTTAAACTTTCTTCCTCCTCCTCCTCCTTCTAGTCATACGGGTTTGGCTCGCGGGGCCAAGTTGTACCGCCGTTAAGCAGTGACAGGACAGAAACAGAGTCCCAGGCAACTTCCAGGAGCTTAAGACAAGACAGGAATAGGCAA